TTGAGATACTGACATGGCCTGCAATCCCCAAACCAATAAAATGGACAACAAAACTTTTTTAAATCACAAAATAGTACTGTTACTGGCCAAATCACCAAACTAAGTCTTCATGCCAAACATCAAACACCCTAAATCTTTTATCGTCTCTCTCCAATCACCCCAATATTCAACCATGGCCGCCACCATCACCAACCACCTTAATATTCATCCATGGCAACCATCAATGCATCACCATCTCTTCAAAGATTCTTCTCCCCCTAAATCACTTCCACCATTCACGACGGCCTCTCCAATCCGTCTTCCGCTCTCTTTTTCCCTCCCCATGGTCCACCTTCAATAGGAATTGAAGAAAAAGATAAATGAACAAGCTAGGCAAATAGGTGAAAAATCTGTGAAATAGAGCCACAAATCATTCAACACAAAGTGAAAAAGAATGTTGCATATATCGAAGATGATGACGACACTTAAATCTGACCATTATTTTTTTTTTGATATTCAGCTGTGATTCATCCATTGGTTTTTTTGGATGCTAAATTTGATTTATTTATTTTATTTATTTTTTTTCATGAAGTTTGTATTGGAGTAGAGAATTAAGGGTTTTGATTTTATCTATCTTACACAAAATTATCAGATTAGATTCTTGATTTTTTGTATTGAAATTAGGTTTTTATTTTGTTTGAATGGTAGTTGCAGAATTGCAGACAGAGAGATTTTAGGGTTTCCAAGTGGAATGAAGGTGAGTGGAGGAATACCGAATAAAAACTGGTTAACCCAATAGACATGGGTATGCCCTAATTGTCATAAAGGGCAATATTGTCTTATAAAAAATTTTGATTGATCAAATGACTGATTGCAAAAAAATGGTCTGTGTGCTTATTTGTACATTTTTTTTTTTTTGAATATTATGCATTGAAATGAACCTTTTCAAAAATGAGGGACTCATTTTGCACATAACCTATATTACAAGGGAGTTTTCTGCACTTAACCCTTTTATTATTATTATTATTTTTTAGTATACACTATTTCTTTGTTTCAATTTAATAATTCATCTTTTTCTTTTAAATTGTTCCAATTTACTTGCCACATTTGAAAAGTCGAAATTCTTTTCATAAATATTTTTCTAACTTTTTAATTTGGTAATATTAAAATATCTTTAAAATGTTTTAACATTTAAGAAAGATTATTAATATGGGCGGAAAAGAGTATTATTGTTCATGTTTTTTTAATCTCATCTCCTCTTTGGATGAATAACAGTGTCATAATTTTGTGTCAAATAAGTGTTTTTTTTTTTTTTTTTTTTTTTTTTTTTTTTTTTGGGTTCCCAAGAGTGGACCAAAAGTTGGGCCATTAAAAAAAAAAGTAAATTATACTGATCTTTCTTGAGGTTTAGATAAATTTTCAGCGTTCAAAATTTATTATAGTGACTTTCCTTAAGGTTTGGCGCATGTGCTCATTATCTCTCTACGAAAACGGTTAAAAAAATTTTAAAAATGACTTACCATTATCTTGAGTTAAAAGACAATAATAGCCTTAGACTTTGACAAAAATGACCAAAAAAAAATTAATATATTTGTGAAGGACAAGGACCAAGACCAAAATGCCCTATATATATGTAGTATTATATATATATATATATATATATGTAGTTAGATATATGCATCAACTAATTGATTTAATTATAATATATATATATACACAAGATCTGTGTTTCCTACCTTACTAAAATATATAGATCTCGAGAGTATCTCCAATGGCCTCTCAAATGACCTCTCAAATTTAAAATATAACAAGTGTATAAAAAAGGCACTGACATATCAAAAGACCTCTCATATTTTGAGATTGTCAAAAGTATTGCCAAATATAACAACTCTCAAATGATTCCTCAAATTCAAAAAATAGCAAGTGGATAAAAATAAGGCACTCTAAGGCTCTCAAAAGAGTTCTCATATTTTGAGATTGTTAAAAGTTGTTAAAATAAAAATAAGGCACTCTAATAAGTTCTCAAAATATGGAATGGTTATTATGTCAAAAAAATAACATTTTAGATGAAATGGACCATTTGAGCATAATTGTAAAAATATAACATTTTGGCACTGTAACTCCTCTCAAAATATAGATTTGGTATAGAAAGATAGCATTTTGCATTGGAGATGCTATGAGGTATCCTACCTTAATAAGATCTATACATATATATATATAAGGAATATTTGAAAACATTGAAAAGAAAAAAAAAACAAAAGACCCAGATCGAAGGTGATTTCTCTCCATCCGTTTCTCTCTTTGAAACCTTTTAGTGAATACTGCTAAAATTATTAGAAAAATAAGATTGGTAAGCGTAACACGATTATTGCAGAAGGATCGCCGCCGATTTTAGCTATCAGTAGCTATCGGATATGACGCTTCAATCTGCAATTCGCTATGGAAAAAAGAAAAATGTGAAATTTTATTCTATTTATGGGAATGTCTGGTGAGAGTAGGGATGGCAACGTGGGCGGTTTTGGGCGGGTGTACCTCTCCAACCGTTTAGAAACTCTCACTCCGTCCCCTCCCAAAACAGCCTAAACGGGGGGCCTTTCCACCCCATTTCCGCTCCGTTTAACTTTTTTTTTTTTTTTTTACTTTCAAAATTTCTCCTCATTTTTTAATTTTTTTCATTAAATACAATTATATAACTATTGAAAAAATCATAAAAAATGGGCAATCATAATTTAATATAAAATTCAAGGGTATGAACATTCTTAGTTCGTAGGGCTTTGCCATTTACTAAAACGGTTGAACAAGTGAGTGAATGTGACTTAAGATTTCTAGAACTAACTATATATACTAAGAAAATAAGAGTAATTTAGTAATTTACTTACCTAAATGGGTAGGGCGGGGCGACCTCCCCGTCCCCGCCTCGAACTCGCACGGCTATGTTTTCATTAATAAAAATCATCCCAGCCTAAATAAGTTAAACGATTTATCAAAACTGTTATAAACGGGACGAGTTGAGGCGGATACCCGTCCCAGCGGGACAAATTACCATCCCCTAAGTGAGAGGAGTTGCAGAGGAGAGAAACAGATTGACAGGGACCTATGATCTATCTGATAGGGAGCTTGCACATGTAATTACTAAGGGCGTAAATGACTTTTTCCGTTCACAGATATTTGCAACATACATGTATTACTATAATATAAGGATAGAATTTACTTTTCACATTAAAAATTAAGGCCAATCACTTTCTAACGTGATTAGGGAAGGTCATTGTAATAACCATTAAATACTCTACTAGACTTAAAAATTATTTAAACCATAAGAAAGGTCGGTATAATATACTCTTAAGAAAATTCACAAGAGAAAACATTCAGAATGCAATCCCACATGAAATTTATTTCATTGACAGAAGCATCATTCACAGGGGTAAGACCTAATGACCTTCATCTGCAAGTTCCTGAGAGCAACAGCAGCATCAAATGTGCCATTCATGGACGTCCGAGCATCAGCCAGCGCGTGCTCTAGGTCTTGATTCAACAAGTAGTAGGAGCAAATCTGGCTGAGGATGAGATCGTGCCTTTCCTCGAACCGTATTACTCTGTCTTCAGCATTTTCTAAGGCCTCCCATATGATCCTTAGCTTCTCTTTTGTGTTTTTTCTTATTTCTGTGTTCTTCAAATTGGGCAAACATAGAAAGAATGGTGCAGAGAAGCCGATTATTGTGAAAGCAATGCCGCCGAAAGCCATGGAGTTTCTAGGGAGAGGGATGAAAGATTTGGAGGAGATAGAATGATAAAAAATAGGGGGCAGTGATACTTTGCTTCATTCAGGAGAAACCTACTTTGGAATCCTTTATTTTCTGTCATGGTGACCTTGGATGCTTCATGTAAATGACACTTAGATTACTAGTTATAAATTTGTGTTATTCTCCTTAAATACGACAGTTAGATGTCATGATTTTTGTCCGGATTTATATAAAGATGTTAATGTATAAGATTGACTGTTAATATCATTTAATAACTTAATTTTTTAGATTGGATAACCAAACATTTAGATCGAGCTTGTAAAGTAACTTGTTTACAAATACCTTATAAAAATTTTATTTTTTTTCTTTATTCAAAATAATGACTTGATAATTTTAAAAAGCACCTTAAGAAGTTTTAATATTAAAAAAAGGGTTATTAATACGATATAGAATATATTGTTCATGCCTTTTATTCTTATCTCGTCTTCTTTGGTAAATATTATTGATTCTAAAATTTGTGTCAAATAGATAGATGATTAGCTGGTGTGAGAATTCAGTTGGGTTCAAAAGCAACAACTTATGTAAATTAGAACCAAATTTTAGGTTCTTGCCAATAGTAATAAATTAGCATATGAATTTCTAAAAATTATATACTCTAAAAAAAGAATTGCGCATCCAGGGAATCGAACCCTGGTCAGTACCGTGGGAGGGTACTATGATACCACTACACCAGATGCGCGCCATGTTGTTGAAGTTCAAATGAATATTAGTTATACACACGCAAAGGGGATCCAGCTCCTTTCTATAATTGATGTGTTTTGACTCACAATTTAATTCCTACATGCAGCTCAGATTCAAGATCTAATCTTCCTATTAACCCTCTCAAGCCCACCAAATTGTAATGTCTAGATTTTTTTTTTTAAAGTAAATAAATTATACTGTATATTATCTAAAAAATCATAAAACACAATGAAGTTCCTTCACACACACAAACAGCAGCAGCTCTTATATATAGAAAATCAAAACTCTCACTCCGGGAGGATAAAAAATATCACATTATTTGTTCTCTGTGTGGCATGAACAATGGAGAATATTTCTTTCACATATATAACTTATTTTACCATCTTTCCAACCCAAGAAATTATTTTTGAACTCTCCACAACACTGTCTTAACTATGCAGAAAACAACACAGAGAACACTTGTCTTTACTGGAGTGTTCTCTCATTCCATGAGATCACTACGATCAACAGCATCTATCTAGGTTGCCTTACAAAACCGAATACTTGCATCAATTGAGAGAGAGTAGCAACAAAGTTATAAATTAAGAACAATCCAACATCTAGTATTATAAAAGAAATCAAGTTTGACATCTGATGGAACTTGTGGTAGCTATACAAAAAATATCTAGTCTAATTTTCTGGACTAAATAGAGAGGAATAAAAGGTCAAAAACACGAAAAAAGAAAAAGAAAATCTCAAATCCAGCTTTGTTTTCATAGCTCATCAACAGGCTCTTCATCGTCAGCATCAGTTGAACTTCCACCACTCTTCTCATAAGCCTGTCTTATGACAGGGTTGCAAACATCTTCCAACTCCTTCATTTTCTCATCAAAATCATCTTTCTCTGCAGCTTGGTTGTCATCCAACCATTCGAGGGCGTCCCTCAATGCGCCATCAATCTTCTCCTTGTCTTCCGAATCAATCTTATCACTGAGCTTGTCGTTGTCGTTAATGGTGCTCTTCATGCTGTAAATGTATGTCTCAAGCTTGTTCCTGGCATCAATCTTCTCTTTGATCTTCCTGTCCTCATCTGCAAACTCCTCTGCCTCCTTTACCATCTTGTCGATATCTTGCTGACTGAGACGCCCCTTGTCGTTGGTTATGGTTATGGATTCCGACTTCTTTGCTGCCTTGTCCTCTGCCCTCACATTTAATATCCCATTTGCATCAACCTCAAAGGTGACCTCAATTTGGGGCACTCCCCTGCAAAGAAACATCATAACCATCATCAGGATAATGTAATGTGTTTCCTACATGACTAAAACCATGTGAGACACTAATCATGAAAGGGAAATTTGTACATCTTGACATTTCATTCTAGGCAGAGCAAAATCTGAAGTTTTTGTTTCAAAATTTCAAGGTTGAGGAATTATGTTATTATGCCTGAGATGACGGAAAATATATCATCTTACCTTGGAGCTGGTGGAATACCGGACAAGTCAAACCTTCCAAGCTCATGACAATCCTTTGTCAAGCTTCTCTCGCCTTCAAAAACCTAAAGATTTTCAAAAATTCATTAGTTTTAAAACAGAATTTAGTTACCATTTTACATCACACAAGAAAAACTTATTCCATCAAACATCCAAACATATATGCTTTTATGTCTTTATTTGTCATACCCTGATTGACACCGTTGTTTGCTGGTCCTGGTAAGTGGTGAACATCTGAGACTTCTTGGCTGGGATGACATTATTCCTTGGGATCAATTTGGTCATGACACCACCGGCAGTTTCAATCCCCAGACTCAAGGGAGCAACATCCAACAAAACAATGTCTGCACAAAACCGAAGTAGAAACCATATTAGGCATTTAAAATACATTCTCTGTTAAATTGTGCCTTAATAATTCAATGCTGGTACTAGATTTCTTACCTTCGGTTCCTTCCCCACCTTCACCACTGAGGATTCCACCTTGAACTGCTGCGCCATAAGCCACAGCCTCATCCGGATTAACACCCTTGCTTGGTTCTTTTCCATCAAAGAAATCCTTCAAAAGCTGTTGAACCTTAGGAATTCGAGTGCTCCCTCCAACAAGAACAATTTCATGGATATCATTCTTCTTCAAACGTGAATCCTCCAGAGCCTTCTTCACTGGCCTCATTGTCTTTTTAAACAAGTCCATGTTAAGTTCTTCGAATCTTGCCCTTGTCAATGGCTCTGAGAAGTCAACACCATCAAAAAGCGACTCAATCTCAACACGAGCTTGGTGCTGGCCACTTAGTGCCCTCTTAGCTCGCTCACATTCCTTACGAAGCTTTTCTAGAGCCTTCTTATCTTTGCTAATATCTTTGTTGTATTTCTTCATGATCAACTTGATGAAATAATCCATCACTCTGTGGTCAAAATCCTCTCCTCCCAAATGGGTGTCTCCACTAGTTGCTAGGACTTCAAAAACACCATTGTCAATGGCTAAGACACTAACATCAAACGTACCACCACCAAGATCGTAAACAAGAATGTTCTTCTCTGCCCCTTTCTTGTCCAGACCGTAGGAAATTGCAGCGGCAGTGGGCTCATTAATAATCCGAACCACGTTGAGCCCTGCAATGGTGCCTGCATCCTTTGTGGCCTGCCTTTGTGCATCATTGAAATAAGCTACAAAAAGCAACACAAAAAAAATCAATCAGAAAACAATAACAGATATTCAAAAAATCTCATTAACTATGCAAAAGAGATTATTATAGGGATTTAAATTCTACCCGGAACAGTGATGACTGCATCTTTAATTTTCTTCCCTAAATATGCCTCAGCTGTCTCCTTCATCTTCACCAATACCATAGCACTGATCTCCTCAGGGCTAAACAACTTAACCTCACCATCTTTGATCTTCACTTCTACATATGGCTTCCCATCTTTGTTTACAATCTTATAAGGTAAGAATTTCATATCTCTCTGAACTTCTGGATCATCAAACCTACCCAAAACACAATACACCAAAATCAAATTAGACTTTAATACACAAAACCCACAAATTTATATACAAAAACCACATTTGAACATTCGAAGACAAAAAAAAAAAAGAAAAATCACTTACAACAGACCAAAATCAAATCACCCTTCTTCAATACACAAAACCCACAAAGATAATAATTTTAAACCACATAGAAATTCACTTACAATAGACCAAAATCAAATTACCCCTTAATACACAACACCCACAAAGATTACACCATTAACACACAGAGAATTTAACTTACAATTGACCAAAATCAGATTAAACTTTAATACACAAAACCCACAAAGATTGTGTTGCAAACCCACATAGAAATTCACTTAAAATAGACAAAAATCAAATTACACTTCAATACAGAAAACCCACAAAAATAATAATGCAAACCCACATAGAAATTCACTTACTTTTTTCCAATAAGACGCTTAATATCCGAAATTGTCCGTTCGGGGTTTTTGGCAGCTTGATTCTTCGCAGCCTCTCCGATGAGACGCTCTGTATCTGTGAATGCAACCCATGATGGAGTGATTCTGTTACCTTGATCGTTTGCTATAATCTCAACATGACCGTTTCTATAAACACCCACACATGAATATGTTGTCCCCAAATCAATTCCAATCACTGTTCCAACTTTCTTCGGTGATTGCTCAGTAGCCAAAGCTAATCCTACCAAAAGTTCTTCAAAAATTCAAACATGAAGAGTTTAGTCTAATGAATTTCTTCAAATCAGAAAAACCCAACACCAAATTCTCAAAATTGTGGGTGCAAAATTATTTTTCAAAACTCAATGAAAAGAATATCTGTTTTCGGATTACAATTTTCTATTTTCTGAATTCTTAAAACTATTTTAGAATATTGAACCAATTCTAAAAATTATTCAGTTCTAAAGAACTCAAAATTTATGAGTAACCCAAATTGAGGATGTTAATTAAAAATAAACAAAGCAAAAATTTACCTGAAACGAAGAGAAGAACAAAAATAAACGCTTTGTTCCTGATAGGTGTACTCATCTTGAGCTTGAGATATACTGTAAAGTAATGGAGGGAGAGGTTGAAGGATTGGTTATATTTATAGTTTAGTGTAGTAGTGTTGGTTTAGAGTTGGTTCAGGAGTTGATTGCATGAGATTATGTGTTCCGCCCAATGATTTTCTGCCACGTCATAGTTCAGTGGCTTTGTTGGTCGCCGTGTCACAATACAAGTATGAAACCCAATCAAAGCTTGAGGCCACTTAGGAACCCCCCAATCAAAGCTTTGATATAATAATAATTTATTATTTATTTATTTATTTTTTGAGTTAATCCTATTGACTTTCCTAGGCAAATTACCGTAACGCCTTCTAAATCCGTTCCTCTAAAGTAATAATATAATAGTATATTATATATGACATTTTATACAAGTATAGAATAAAATTATCATTTTATAAAATTTGATCAACAAAGAAAAATTAAAATAATAAAAGCCATCTACTCGTATATAATTTATTTAAATTTTAAGGTTAAAATGGTAGATGTAATTTGCCTTTCTATTTTTTTTTTTTTTTTGAGAAATTCAACTTGTCTTGAATTACTTACTCTTAATATGTCATGATATAATTAGGTGACTTTCATTTTATAATATTTAAAAATAATAATAACTTACTTTTTAGGTGGTGAAAAAGGATAAATTGTAAAATTTATTTGAGTAAATTTCAATTCATATTAAATTTGACTATCGAATTATTGGTACACGATATTTATTTTTTTAAAAGAACGGTAAGGGTTTAAGCCTATAAAAAATTGACATCAATTGCTAACATGATTTGAATTATTAATTGTATTTGTATTGTAATTGACTCACCCATTTAACTAATCATATGGTGTTACCAAGTTTGGAGTTACAAGTTGTATTTTGCATCAAAAGAAAAGTATTTTTTTTAGATGGGTCAACCCAACAAAGATATATTACAGTTTGATCTTGGTTGGGGTGGATGGCATGCTAGAGTGTTCTGGCCAATGGGCTTTAGCCACGTCAGATGCTGCATCTCTTGTTTGGTTTGCTTTATTAGTCGGTGCTCTTTTTTTTTTTTTTTTTGGATTCATAGAGGAAGTAGGTAATTGTAAAGAGGAGGGGTACATTAGGCATTTGTAAAATTTGACACTTTAGATTTGTTACATCACCATTAGTTTAATAGGTCAACTTTAATGTTTTCAACTCTCCAAATTTTAATTATTTGAATTCTTCAAATTTTATTTAAAAGAAATAGAAGCCCACGGTCAGCAAAATGGGCGATCCAAACAGGCCTTTAGAGCCTTTGAACAGCAAATGGTCTAGTAATCTAGTCCTGTTTAAGACCAATAAGCAATTTATGAACGAGTCCATACAAAATAAAAAGAGTATTTTGTTAGATTGGTCAACTCGAATCTAATTTATTTATTAAACAAATCATACTCCATTGACATGAACATGACATGTTATAAAAACAAAATATTGAATAGCTAATTATATGTTTTATTTAAAAAAAAGCACACAATTAACCAAGTATTTTACTATAATACCATATTAATTTAAATATATTACAAATTATACATGTTAAGATAAAGTCACGAACTTGTTTTTAGGGGCATAACGGCGTTGATAGGAATCTGAAAGGTAAATCATTGAGATATCGCTTTCGAACCGCACTCCTAACTTAAATGATACTTGTATTGTGGAGTCGATACACGTGTCCTAAAAAAGAAAGAAAAAAATTTAAATTAGCCTAACATATTTATGATATAATTAATTAAACAAGTCAAATTCAATTAAATGAATTGAGAAATTCTAATCCAACACAACACAATTAATTAAAAATAATAATTGAGTCAACCGAATTGAGAACCTAAGTATGGCGGAAACAAAATTAAAGTCAACTCAAATTCGTATTAAATTCGTGTGTCAACCCTCTCTTCAGTTCATATTTAATTGAATTAGTTGGCCCAAACTGAATGCAGAAGTAACAGTTTTTCATTATTTTCATAAAGTGGTTTTCTTTCCAATACTGGTGGTTATCCCAAAACAAAATCATGCCTTTAAAATGCTACCCCATGAATTAGCTTTTATTTATTTATCTATTATTTGGACTTCTTTCTTTAAAAAATGAGAATAATTTTTTGAGGTCCAGAGAGCTTTAGGTGAGATTGGTGAAAGTGGCAATGGGTCTACAAAAATAACGACTTTAAACAAAAATTTGAAGTAATAGTTGGCAGATTTAACACTAATGTATGTAGGCCAGATCAATAACTGAAATTTCATCATTTCAGTGAGATCTAGTCTAGCTCAACTGTTAGGATATATATATATCAGTGAGATCTAGTCTAGCTCAACTGTTGGGATATATATATATATATATAGACATTGGCAGAAAGTATACTAGTCCAAAAGTTTGGAAATATTGAAAATTTTGACTTGCAAAAAGTAGTGCAAACTTTTAAATTTTGTCATAAGTCTAATAATTTGTTAGAAGATTATTATGCTTTTGATGGGAAAGTACTTTTTCATCAACACTTGAGTCTTGGTTGTGGCATTGCCGACAGTGCAGTGGTGGAGTCCACCCCCTCCTCTCTCATTCCGTAGTTCAATTCGGACTCCAATTTCAAGAACAAAAATAAAAAATAATTTTGAGAGAACAAAAATAAAAAATAATTTTCAGTTTTCTGTGTTTCAAAATCGATTGAGTAGTACTATTTAGGCTTATTTGTGCGGTTGGGTAATTTAAACTATGGGTTTTTATACCCCTACAAGTTTAATCAATTGATTTAACTTGAATTTATCTATTATATCAAATGGATAGAAACCATCCGACTAAACAAATAAGTTAGATATATCGGTCCAAGAATCATTTTCTAAATCTATTTGGCTGACAAAATTATGAAACAGTTTTTTATAAAATAAAGAAAATGAGAAAATCCCAAAAATAGTTTTCTAAACTGAGGAGGAAAAAAAAAAAAAAAACTACTACTATTTTGGCGGCACCGAATTGACGCTTTCTATTTAGGATTGGAAAAAATTTAGTACAAATTTTGAATAAAACTTCCTCCAATCTCAAATGTAAGGAACTGATTCCATGCTCCCAAACGTAGCACACTTGTATTTAACATTACTGTCATAGGTTTCTAGGCCTGTGGAAGATATCAAGCTTGTGAACTCTCACAGATAACTTCTGTTCTTTGTATACTTCTATTGTTGCTAAATCCACTCGATTTTTTTCATTTTCCAAAGACATGAGAGGAAGTTGGAACCACTATTAGGCTCATTGAAAATGTTGGTATTACAACACATTGATTCAAGCCACCATATTTAATCATGCCCAAAATTTTACATAAAGTTTGGAAGATGTTACACAGATTTGTAATTATAATGAAATGGGAATTTTATGAAGTATAGACATCCCAAGCCATCTAATTTCTATCTGAATGGAGCTAGAGGATTTGGACTACTTGAAACTTTCAAGCTTCTAAGCTCTTTACACACATGATCTAACATACCCAAAAAGTCTCTCACAATTACAAAAATTCTAAGTGGATTGGCTTCATCTTTGCTCACATCTCCATGAAAGTACTCAGTGATTTTTCTAACAAGTAATAGGACTTTGTCTTCATCTTCTTGCAACTCCTTTATATTCTTCTCTGCATAACCAAGAAAAGCTCTCATTGAGACCACAAAGTTACCACTTTTTTCATCCACACACAAGTTCCTGTTTACCAGGTGTCTCAACTTAGCCATTCCATCTGATAGGTTTGAGACTGATATTGCAAGAACATCCAAATCTATTGTGGCTGTCTTCTTCACATTGCAGAGTTCGGTACTTAGACCGGAAACAAGGTCTAGTCCCATTCTTCTGTAACTTTCTTCAGCATTTTTGCTCTTACTTTTCTGGTTTATCTTTCCCATTATACTCTCTGAGCTTCTAATTCCTTCTGACCGGACAATTTCTTGGACGACAAAGTGGAGCAGTGTAGTTTTCCCATCTGTTCCTTTCACGTCGGCTAGCTTAAGGAGGGCGTCGAGCTTGAATGCTCTGGCACCTCCCCTGATTGTTCCAACATTCATCCTGTTTCCGGTTTTGAGAACAGCTTCAAGTAATTTCAAGAAGAGCCGGCTTGATCTTAGTTCTTTGCATGCCTCCTGGTAGAGAAACATAGACATATTAAATCATTTCAAGTATTGTTGTTTATCAGAATTTGAGTGATCAGTTTGATGGTTAATTACCTCTAGCATTGAGAAAGACTTTCTGAGATGAACAACCTCATCTTCAAACGTTTCGCGGTAAAGCATTGCTTCAATCCTTAAGAAGGCAAAAGGTATGTTGAGCATTGCCTTAACAAATCTCTCTGCTGAGCCCAATTCTTTGATGTCTCCTTTATAGCTAGAGAGTAAAGCCTCTTCTTCTTTGGTGGGTACCATTTTCACTAAAACCTCTAGCTGTTGTAAACACAAGCCATCCCCTGCTTTTGGAAGATTTTTCAAAATTAGGCACATAATGTATGAGTTTGCATGTGTGTTTGATAGGGAGATGAAATTGTATTATCTGTGTTTTGCTTATACTAATTTGTCTTGAGGATGAGCTATAAAACTGTTGTTTAGAAGTTGCTAATGCAGAATTCAATTGAGTGTATATGCAATTTTCTGCTCTTTGCCTTCTAAGTCGCGAAGGTTGGAGATTACACGGTTTGGTAAGGGGGAAAATGACACAAATTTTCTCACTAGGAAGAAAATGTTTCTTAGATAATCTCAAAATAATAAATTTCATTCATCTACTCTAGCAATATGGACCATTGGGAATACATAACCAAATGGCATGTTGTATCAAAATGTTTGTCGCGCTCAAATTCTTCTTATTACTACCTCAAATGCATTCTTTTATGCAAAACAAACTGGCCCTTTGATTATATTTCAACGACAAAATTTTGTTCTTCTTGCTATCGTGGTATCACTATACAGATTTGGATTCTTCAAATTGTTATTCATCTTTAGCTAAGAAGCTTCCTAACATTATGGACTATGCATTGTTGCTCTTTTAACCCTTTCTAGCATCCTCAAGTTCATTATCAGAATGCAGAACAAACTCACACTTGATTATGAGTAGTTAAGCATCTATCAGGAGTTCTAGGATTTTTACCTTTTACCAGTGCATCACAAACTTGTTCAGCAGTCGCATTCAGAGCTTTTGAGAGTATGGTTATGTTTTGCAGTCTCTTGGGCTCAAGAACATGCTTGCTTGGAGAAGGGCTTTTGCTCTTTCCTTCATCATGCTTCATCGAATCTTGTAGATTGTATCCAAAAAGTGATTCAATCATTTCCTCATCAAATCTGTTCCAAGTCTCTAAACCGTTTAGTACCAAACACAAACGTAGGAACTGAGTTATAACCAAAAAAAAATTTTTTTTTGCCTTACTCAAATGAGCTTGTTTTCAGCTTGTCCCACACCGTGGAACGATTTGAAGCTGCTCTAACTTTGTCCCAATGAAGTGGTTTCAGTTTTGGCAATGGAGCTCCATCTTTACCCAATGGCACATACTGAGGAAGCTGAGACGGCGGAGGTGGGCCCTTCATATGCTTGCCATTTCCTTTCGAAAATGGAGGTGGACATGGCGGTGGAGGAATCCCTATTGGAGGCTTAGGAAGTGAAGATGGCAAATCACTTTTGGTGGTAAAATTTGATCGTGAAGAAGAACCTGAATCTCTTGGAGATGACAAAATTGGCAATGTGGAAGAACTCAAAGCCTTAGATGTGGTCCGCATTGAACAAGACGGGTGAAAAGGAGGAACATGTACACAAGGGGGAGGAGGTGGTGGTGGCGGCGGTGGTGGGGGCGTGAACCTGTTCGGACCACTGGAAGAACTGGGAGCTACCTGCATGTTCTGATCCGAATTGCGCGGAAAATGGGCTGCAATTGAGTTGGAATCTTGAATTGGTGATGGAATTGCTAAGTTCATAGGAGAGGTCACAGAAGAAGAAACTTTTGACACATTTGGGGAAACAATTTTTGGTTTGTCACTAGGACTACCCAATGAAGCATTGGACATCCTCACATTCGATGCATATGAATCAGAGAAAGAATGGAAAGATTGTTCATCAGATGAATGTGCTTCAAAATAAGTTACATTATCACCAGATGAGGATAAAGATTTGTCAGATTCATAATTAATTGATTCATGAACAGACATAATTTCTCCAGCAACAGAATAACACACACTATCGGATTCTGATTTTGTTGGTTCCTTTTCTGATTCTTCTCTGACATGCAATTCACAGTTTGATAATTGTTTGACACAAATTGCTTTTGGTTCTAAAGCTGAATCAAGGTGAAAGAGTTCAAGGTCTGAATCAGAGCTTACCTTTTTGGATGAATTTTGAGAGCTCAAATACTTTGATCTACTTTTAGGTACATCTTCAGTGGTATGTATTATTGACATTGTACCTTTTGACCTCTTTCTTTGTTCACTGAATTTTCTGCAGACCAAAATGAGCCCAATGGCACATATTATGAAGGTAGCTCCAGCAGCCACAAGAACTGGTATTAGAATTCTTCTAAGTATACCCTTATCTCTCTTATCTTTGTGAATCCTGTGGTGTGGATGGATCGGCCGAGGACGACCAAATCGGTGATGAGGATGGACATGAATAGGCACCATTGGAGCAGGAGCTGGAGCTGGAGATTCAATGGGAGGTAATGGTGATGGACTTGTTGTTTTGGAGCTCTTTAGTCCAAGTAAAGCTCTGAACTTTTCCAAGATCAAACCTTCCTTTACTTCATTTTCATCTTCTCCTGAGACCTTCTCAACATGGTTGTCTTTGAAATCTCCGTTGTCCTCCATGAAATGCAGTTCTTGTAGGACATGAAGACTGAAGTACTCTGCAGCATTCAATGCAGCTTCCACAGCCAGATTGTGACTACAATATTGGAGTGTTGTGAGCATGAAGATGATGATAATGAGATTCATGTGAGGAAGCTGAGAACCATTAATCATGATTCTTCAATCCAAAATCAATCTATCCACCTTTTTTGCATAAAAATCTAGCTCATCTTTGTTTTTTCTTTTTCTTTTCTTTTTTCTTTTTTCTTTTTTCTTTTGTTTTTTTTGTTTTTCCTGCATATAAATGTAAAGCCTTTTTTATGGGTGGTGGGAATGATGTGTAGTGAAGATATAGAGAAAAGAGACTTTAATGGTACTACAAGGAACCTCTGAGCTTGGCAGTTGTAGTTGTACTGGGCCTTCTTTATTTCTTCTGTTTTTGTCCTCTTATCTCTTCTCACCTCCATTAATTCTCTCTGCTAAAAGCTGCTTAATTTTGTTCTCAGGCTCTCAGCTTCTCCTTTGGGAAATATTCTTTCTCACATCTAATCTCTTGTTCTTTGTATCTTTCCCCATATTTATGAATATTGTTAGAGAAAAGGTGAGCATTCTTTTTGGCTCTTCATATCTCATGTTCGTGTCATATCTCGTGTTTCTGAGTTGTGGTCTGAATTTTGTTTCTGCTTCCAACCTTATTATGACTCAAAAAATTTTGTGGGTTTGTGGATTCAAGTCGTAAACTTTTTTTTAATTCAGTATATAATATGATTCGTTGTATCGTTTAATACGTGATTTCTTTTTAAGTCTAATATGCAATTCGTATCGGTCAGTTTAAACTGATTTTATTCATTACACTGCGACCGTGACCGATATTGTAAACCACGGTATACAATAGTGTTTAGGGTTTATAATATGCTAGGGAAAATATTGAAAATTGTTTTAAAAAGTCAAACAGAGATAAGGGTTTAAAGAAATCAAACTTTATGTTAATATGAGTAAATCTTTATATTCTGTGTATGGTGTATATTTATATTTATATCAGCTTCTTAATTTTGTAACATCAGACAACATCACTATTTCTCTTCAGTTTTAGTGAAAGCTTTTTAGAGTTCAAAAACTTTTTAGGACGTGAAATGGTCAGATTCATGGGAATTACATTTCATTTAAGCTTTTTGCAAGTAAAAATGATCAATCAATCTAAAAGTTGCTTGGTGGGTCCTCATTGGTTGGATTTTCCTTACCTCTCGTGAGGGTGATTTGGTAAGTTCACTCCAACCTCCAATTATTAAAGGAAGAGAGAGAAATGTTCCATCACTTTCTCATGTGGTCGATCTTCAGATTGTGAAACAATGTGTAATGCACAAGGTAGCTTGAATACACAATTTTTGATGTTGAGTTATGAGAGATATAGTATAAGAGACTACTATAGACCACCACATCTCTCTTTCATGGACTTTCTACATCTCCTTTTCCAAGTGGTTATTGATTTGTTGTGGTAGTTTTTAGGTTAAGGTTTGGTGTGACTAAGTTGATTTGGTCAAGAGCCCTTGTCTACCTGCGCCTAACCTAACCTAACCAGAGAGAGACCAGATGGTTGAACCTATTAGGACCACTAAGCAGTGGACTTTGAGCTTCACTTTATTGGTACAATAACCTAACATTAATGTCATACAGTACGATGGTAAAAGTTGAAGTTCAAACTTCAGAACTTAGGGTAAAGTTTGAAAATAAGCACATGCACCAGACCAAATAATATCTGGCACCTTTTATTTTAAAGATTAGCTTTGTTTGGATGGAGGGATTTGGAGAGAAAAGAAAGAAAAGAATAGTGTGTAATGTGTTTGCATGAGAGGAATTGAGTAAAAAAGAAAAACGAGAAGGATTTGGAGGGATTTATCAATCCTCCAAATCTCTCAAATTGAATTCTTCCAAAATTGACAAGATTTGGAGAGGAAGGAAACTAAATTAAGTTAATATTAGTTATGACAAAAGTAACCTTCAAAATTAGATACACAAAATTTTTACTCCATTTAAGTCCTAATAACATAACAAGATCTAATTGATGATAACGCTCATGTACGAGATCCAAATTTTGGGTTTTTTGAGTTCATTTTATAGACTTCAACTGTTAATATGATTGCTTATGATTCTTTTATAGATTAGATTTAGATTAGATACAAAAAGGTAAAGATAGTATTGATTACTATCCTCTTCTTTCTTCTCTGTTATATCCAAACAACAATATTATTCATTCCTTCTTTTTTTTTTTCTTATTTATCCAAACATGATTTTAAATTATAGCTATCATTTTCTTTTCTTTATTTTCTCTCATAGCTAATGTTATCATTTGCTTTCTTTTCTCTCCTATGTATCTAAACGAAGCTCTGGAGGAAAAATATTGGTAGGACCTGTTTGTTTATAACTTTAAAAACAGTTCTCAAGGGTTTAGAAAATAAAAAATTATTTTTAAAGAACTATAAAGACAATTTTCAAAATAAGTCTTTTTATAACTATGTTTTCGTACAATCATTTTCAGAAACTTAATCAAGCAGAGTTTTTATATAATTTTCTAATTTTTAGTTCTCTCACAATAGAAAGCTGATTTCAGAATTACAAATAATGCAGACCTTACTTTCTTACCTTTTAAAGTAAAAAGTGAAAAATTTAAGTTCTCATCAAATAATGTGAGTTGTGCTGAGTTTCTTCTAAAAATTAAAATTCAGGAGTTGCCGTGTTTGTCCATGATATCGCCACACTTGATTGGATTCATAGATAAACTCCATTAAACAGTAAGTAATATTCTGAGTTCAATCTCCTGAATTCTTCACAAAGTAAACATGTATTTATTAGTGACATATACATAAGATATATTATACATATGTATCATGATTTAGACCAATTGAGAATATAACAAAAGCAAACTGAAAAACTTAACCCCTTGGCTTAAAACCAAGGTTTGGAATCCTAGCTACTAAAACTGTGAAAATATACATGCATCAATATACTAAAAAAACACAAATTTTTTCGTGTTAATATAGTAGGAAGAAGGTTCCTCACGTGCGGAGGGGATTAGTGCACTGTCCGGTGCACCCAAAGGTATCAACACGGTGCCGTTTTGGGTGACCAACGCAGGCTTCATGTTGAGCTTCGTGCCAACATGCTGAAGCATCGGATGGTGCATAAATTCTTGGCATAGGAGAGGATCCGAATCCAACATGAGTAAGAGATACAAAGTAAAGTGTTGCACAGCAGGGGTTCCATTCACTGGTTAGACTTCATGATTTTGTTGTAAAGCATAAACTAATTGTTCATTGAAATGAAAACATAAAAAATAGATCAAAATCACCATACTGTGGGATGACTCGATTGAGCGAGACCATTAAAAAGAGCTTGGTTTTATCCATTTTGTTCCGCTGTGTTTGTACGTTTGTAGCACGAGATCGTGATACTTTATACCAAAAATTGTCCATTTTACTTTGAATCTAATTTAACTTTATAAATGCTATGGTGCTTTCATCATTTAGCAAATTCAACAAATTCAATAAATAAGAGTGCAAACTTACTTCGAGTACTCTTCATTAAAGTCTGAGAAAATTTTATTTCATCCCACTCAATCAAAACTTGACATCTAAATAAATGTGTCAAGAGTGTTGAGTTGTGATTAAGGAAACCAGTAAGTCCCGAATTATACAATAATTTCTCATTATAGACTTTCCCTTATCCCGGCCAAATACTATGTGTAAACAAAAGTGTCAATTTTATACTCGAGCAAGTTGAGATTGATCATATAAGAATTTAACTTGCAGATTGAACTTTTAAAGTGCCAATACGTTGGCCCTCAGGGACATAGTGATATTGACAGTGATTTGAAAAGTAAGTATTTGAGGTCTCGCTTTCAAATCATATTTCTGACTTAAATGATGCTTTCGAATCATACTTATATGATATAAATGGTATATGTGTTATGTGGCTGATAGATATACTATTAAAAAAAAATAAAAAAAATAAAAAAAAAAACAAAGAAAGAGGTGCCAATACGGGTAAAAAAAAAAACAGAAAAAAAAAAGTGTGCAAATACGGTGAGTTAAAAGGCCATTTGCAGATTCAGCTTTTAAATAGACAAATAGGGAGTTTAACATTGTAGAACCAGATAGGAGCCAAAAATTTTGAAACTTGCTACTGTTAGATGTTCCTCTTCGAGAACCAGCCAGGTTCAGGTTAATTTTTAGCCCCCTAATTAGCTACTTCTCTCTCTCTGTGTAGATACTACCATACAAGATGAAGCAATTCATCAAACAGATAGAGTGCAGACTACACCATCACCCTCTCTCATCATCTTCATTCTCTTTTCTTCGCTTACCCTCCATTAGTTTCTCCTCCACCTCCTCATTCGATAATCAATCATCGACCCCTCTTCAACCACACTCAATTACTCGCAATCACACTCCTTTCAGGACAAACATTGATCGTCTTCATGGTTCCTTCTTCTGCACACTCATTCAACTCTTCCTCTCCTGCCGTCGATTCTCCGATGCCTCTGACGCATTCGCCGCCATGCGGTGGACCTATGGCCTCATTCCCGACCTACCCTCTTGGAATCGCCTCCTACATGGGTTCAATACCTCCGGGCTGGTCTCCCAGGTATGGTCTGTTTACTCCGACATGCTCTCTTGTGGGGTTTTTCCTAATGTTGCCACTCGTAACATAGTAATTCACTCTTTTTGCAAAGTTGGAAGGCTCAATTCGGCATTAGATATGCTCAGGAATGCAACCATTGATAGAATTGACAATGAGACTGTTACTTATAATACTGTTATATGGGGGTTTTGCAGAGAAGGTCTTGCCCAACAGGCTCTTGGGTTGGTGTCTGAAATGGTTAAGGTGGGTGTTCCTTTTGATTCTTTTACTTGCAATATCTTGGTAAAGGGTTTTTGCCAAATTGGGTTGTTAGGATATGCTGAGTGGGTTTGGGATAGTTTGGTCAAGGATGGGAATGTTCCAAGGGATGTTGTGGGTTTCAACACCTTGATTCATGGGTATTGTGAGGCCAGTGAGTTGAGTGGTGCTCTCAAGTTGGTGGAAGGTATGGGAAAAGAGGGTTTATTCCCTGACATTGTTACTTATAATACTTTGATTGATGGGTTCTGCAAGATGGGGGATTTTGCTCAGGCCAAGAATCTCATGGATGAGCTTTTGGTGTCTCGTAGAGACGTGGATTGTGGGATTACAAAAATTGATGAAATTCATACCGAAAACAGTAGTCAATCCATAGGAGGATCAGACTTGAATCCAAATCGCATCACATATACAACACTTTTTAATGGTTACTGTAAGTGGCAGGGACTTGAGGGAGCATTCCCCGTTTATAATGAAATGCTTGTCAATGGGATTTTGCCTGATGTAGTTAGCTATAGTTCTATAATAAATGGACTTTGCAAGCGTGGAAGGTTTGCAGAAGCCAAACTACTTTTTGAGGAGATGGGACGGATGGGTGTCGATCCTAATCACGTCTCCTACTCTGTTCTCATTGATTCGTTTTTTAAAACAGGGGATGCAATGGGGGCCTTAACCCTTCAGAGTCAAATGGTAGTTCGTGGAATTGCCTTTGATTTGGTTGTGTGTACCACTTTGATGGATGGGCTCTTTAAGGTTGGAAAGCACATCGAGGCTCAGGATATGTTTAGGACTCTAAAAAAGTTTAATTTAGTTCCAAACTCCATCACCTATTCTGCATGGATTGATGGACACTGCAAATTGGGAGACATGAAGGGTGTTGAATCTATAGTACAAGAAATGGAAGAGAAAAATGTTCTTCCAAATGTCATTACATATTCCTCTGTCATTAATGGGTATATTAAAAAGGGAATGCTTGATGCAGCTGTTGATGTCATGATGAAGATGGTGTGCCAGAGTGTCATGCCAAATGTTATTACTTACTGTACTCTAATCAATGGCTATTTCAAGGCCGGTAAACAAGAAGTTGCTCTTGAATTCTATGAGGACATGAAATCAAGAGGGGTGGAGGAAAACAATTTCATACTTGATGTGTTCATCAATAATATGAAAAGAAGAGGAAGGATGGATGAGGCTGATGCATTATTTAGAGATATGATGTCTAGGGGACTGTCACCTGACTGTGTTAACTACACTTCTCTAATGGACGGATTCTTCAAAGTGGGTAAGGAATCAGCTGCTCTTAACATGGCCCAAGAAATGACACAGAAAAATCTAGAGTTTGATATTGTTGCATACAATGTCTTCATTAATGGTTTGTTGAGACTTGGCAATCATGAAGCAGAATCTGTTTATACTGGAATGAGGCAGTTTGGTTTGGCTCCAGATCTTGCTACCTACAACACGATGATTGGAGCGTACTGCAGAGAAGGGGATTTGGGAAATGCTTTCAAACTCTGGAACGAGATGAAGACTTATGGGGTAATGCCTAATTCAATCACTTGCAACATTATGGTAGGAGGGCTTTGTGGAGCAGGTGAAGTTAATAAAGCTTTGGATTTGTTAAATGAGATGGTGGTTTTGGGATTTCGCCCTACCTCAACTACTCATAGAATTTTCCTAGATGCAGCTTCTGAGAGTAAAAGGGCCGAGATAATTTTGCAAATGCATGAGCAGCTTGTTGATATGGGACTTGAGCTCAATCGGATAGTTTTTAATACTCTCATAAGTATCTTTTGCAGGATGGGGATGACTAGAAAAGCAACATCTGTATTAAAAGACATGTCAGCAAAAGGAATTTCAGCAGACACTATCACTTATAATGCTCTTATGCGTGGATATTGCAAAAGCAGCCATTTGAAGAGGGCTTTTGCTACATATTCTCAAATGTTGGTTGAAGGGGTATCTCCTACAATTGCAACTTACAATATTCTTCTAGAGGGCCTCGCAGCTGCTGGTTTGATGCGTGAGGCGGCTGAATTAATTGACGAAATGAAGCAAAGAGGCTTTGACCCCAGTGCTAATACTTATGATATTTTGGTTTCTGGCCATGGGAAGATAGGAAATAAGAAGGAATCTATAAAGCTTTACTGTGAAATGATAACCAACGGCTTTGTTCCCAAAAATAGTACTTATAATGTGCTTATCAGTGATTTTGCCAAAGTGGGAAAGATGAGACAGGCTCGAGAGCTTATGAATGAAATGCAAGTCAGAGGGGTGCCACCTAATTCTTCGACTTATGACATACTAATTAGTGGCTGGTGCAAGCTATCAAAACAGGCAGAGCTGGAAAGGATGTTAAAAGTATCATACCAGTCTGAGGCAAAAAAGTTAATCAAAGAGATGAATGAGAAAGATTTTATTCCATGCGAAACCACCATTCGTTATATCAGTTCAACCCTTGCAAAACCAGGAAAGAAGGTTGAGGCTCAGAGTTTGTTGGATAGGTTTTACAACAGAAAGAGCACTGGGTAGATGCGCTAGGAGAAAGAAGAAATGCAGAAAGTTCTGTTTACGCTGGCATCCACACCATGGCTATAAAATGTTATTCCTCAAGGATGGCACCATGGCTATTCAATGTTCTTCCTCAGCTACCAAAATGCTTCATATTGGCATCTGGCTCGTAAATGCATCATTGTGGTATGAACTCCTAACCTTTGTACATTTTCTGAACTGACTGGATTCTGTGTCTTATCTTTTTTTCTTTTCTTTTTTTGGGTTAGTCTGTGTCTATCTTTAATGGCTACTAGTAGTCATTTTTTAATTACTAAAATTTTCAGTTCTTGATTTTGCTGGGCTGCAAACTAATATTAGGTCAATAATGATAGTTCATTTAATTGATGAAAACGTAAACAAGTGGTTTGTACTCTGTATTGCTAGCAGGTGTTGACTCGGTCTTCTGTAGCAAGAGAATCATATGATATATGGTCATTGATTCATGAAAAGGAGATCACTTTGAGAACAGGAACTCGAAGAAGAGAAAACCCCTATAAGGAAAGTAAGTAAAGGCATTTCCTGCTAGTTTTTGGTTTATTCTTGAACTATATTTTTTAGTAATGGTTAAAATCTTTCAATTAAAGAATCAGAATCCAAAATTTAAATCATATAAGTATGCCATTTTGCATATGGGGTGACTAGCTCAAGTTGAATAAGTCTTAAGTGGTTGAATATACAAATTTAGTTTACTATTTTGCTTTGTGTAGGTAAATTGTCTCGTCAAATTATAAATAATCTTGTCATCACTTTAGTTCAACATTCCTTCCCTTGTTCTTGTAGTGCCTTAGATTGAACTACTTTCATTCTCGTTAACACAGTCATCAGTTTTTCTTACCCTCTGAGCAAACCATCTCAGTTAACATTCCTTTTTTTCCTTCTTTGTCTAAGATTCACAGTCATCTTAAAAAAAAAGTTCCATTATCAAATTATTAAATTTCTTTCACCCTTATTTTCCCCTGGGTGCTGTCTCCATCTCAATATCCTCGCTTTAACTTTCTTCGTTGTTCTCAATAACCTCCAATATATATTTTCTCCTGCAAACATTTTTTATTCTTCCTTTAGAGTCGGATCTCTTTTGATTTTGCATAATACTTGAGAAAATTTCAGCGTCAAGGTTTTGCAAGGTGTAAGATTTGGTATTAAAGGAAACCATGTTTAGCATATGACATAATACAAAAAACACTTCGTGTTGAAGGAAGAACAAGCAGAAGCCAGATAATTCCAGAGTTCCCCTTTTTTAGATTTTCAATTCGCTTTCTCAAATGAACATGATTGTATTTGCCAAAAGTTGTAACTAAGTGCTTCAATCTATTATAGCAGCATATCTTCCCTCTTGAAACCATCTTTAGAGGATGGTATTTTCATATGTTGAGTTAAGAATACAATGAGCCTGTAAGTCCCGTACCAAACCTTTGATACTATATTTTTGAACCCCTTGTGAATTGTTGTAATATCACCACCAATAACATTAGGAGATTAAGACACAGATCATCTAGAGATTGATGCAAACAGCATAAAAGCAAAATATATGGTTAATTTATGCTTTTTCACTCTTAAAATAGATTTGCGCGAGTGTAATTGCCTTCAATTCTTTGAAATGGCTCTCATTAGAATGTAATGGTACATGAATATCTCCAAGACTCCTTTCTTTAAAGCTATACCTGGTCATTGTTCACGCTTCATCATTAGCTACATCTTGCACTTTCCATTCTTTATTGATTAATTTTATGATAAACAGGCATATAAGAAGTGCTTTCAGAATCTGAATTATGCAGAACAACTGAGGGTCTTGTGCCTGCATGCAGTACGAACATGTAAGAAACCAAGGCTTTCAACCATTTTGAAGGGTTTTTCTAATCTACTTTTCCTTGTTTTTGTATGAGAAAAAATTCTTCTCCTTCTCTTTTTATATTTTTCTCCTTCCAGCAAATATGGCTTAACTTTGAACTTGTATTTTTCTTAATTTTATCTCTGGGCATACCTAGAACAGGTAAGGAAACAGGATAAAGTATCCAAACAATTTCAGATTTGCTGAATCAAGAACATAAAGCCTAAAGGTAATATGCTAAATTGATTTTTGTTGCCAGATTGGTTGATTCTGTCTAGGTCCTTGTTCCAGCTTCTGTTCTTTTTTAGGTTATTGGCTCAACAGATTCTCAAAACACAGTTGAGGCTCTTTTAAGACTAATTAGGGTAAGTAACATCTTTGGTTATACGCTCTCGTTTTTTAATTTAATTAATAACTCTCCAAACTCTAGAGCGACTACTGTTGTCTTTAACTCTTCATCAACATGTGTGCTTTATAATGTCCATTTCCAATGTTGCTGAATACTTTCTCTTGGATTTGGAACTAGGTATTGCTCATGTATTGATTAGGTGAAGGCAACATAATTTCATTATATTTGCAGTTGTACTCGTGGAATTTTTCTTTTTAATTTGAAAGGGTATATCAATGGTCTTCAATAACATAAATATTGTTATGTGATTTAATAAGTCAATTTAAAGGCATGATTGAGTTAATCATATTTTTTTAATGATTACAGTGTAATCTGTGCTTAAGGAAAACTTCATGAGTCGATGGAACAGAAAACAGCTGGATACTATATGCTAAAACAATTACTTCCAAAAAAAGACAAAGGCATAAACTTCACAATTGAATCTCCATCTGTAGGAAGGAAATCAGGAGCAGATAGAAAATTCCACTTTGGATTTAGAGAGAGAGATGGTACTGGAGCTAAGGTGTCTTGAAGTAAGAGGACATACTTCCTCACTGGGAGTTGAAGAAAGAGAGGGAAGAGAGATAGGGTAAGAGAGAAAAAAAGAGAGAGAGAGTAGATAGTTTGCTAGAGGTTTAAGTCCCCACCATGGCATAGTGTGGGTGTGTGAGTGTATACTTTATTTTTTTAAAAAAAGAAAGAGAGAAAAAAAGATTGGGTTAGTTTTGGAAAGATTTAATAAAGAAAGGAAGGAGGTAGAGAGAGGTAATGTGTATATATATATTTATGTATTCTGAACAGGATGCTACATAGGAATAACTAAAAAAAAATATAATTTTTATGAGGAACATACAAGTCTAATGGTATTTTTTCACCTTCCAAAGTAAAAGGTTGAGATTTCAAGTCTTTAAATGGACAAAGTGTGTGTATGTGTTTTTTTGTTAATAAAAAAAAACAAAAAAAAATGGAGGTGGAACATGAATGAGGTATAACACCTATAAATGATCTAATTAGATAAAGTACTTGATTAGCATGATTACATTCCTTAGTTTGATATAAAATAGAAAGAAATGAATAGCATGATTACATTCCTAGTATGATATAAAATAGAAAGAAATGAAAAAAGCGTATTCATGTTATTGATCGATTCATAAAGAGGAGTCTAAAGTATGTTTGTATATTATATTCTGAATCCGTCTTTAATCCTGTTGAAAGACTGTTTTCATTCATGATTAAACAATGATGTACTGCTAGTGTGGGTATTAATTTTTAATGTCCGGCATTGAAAAACTGTGATTTTTGGGGAAAATAACTTTCAGTAATTTCTTGATTCCTACAAAAAGATCTACTATGTGGAAAATTTTAGCCTACTCTGCCTTATCATCTTGGTTTCCTTTCCTGATATTTTCTCAGGAAAATGACTACGTGTCTGTGACTTTGTGGTGTTCTGACTCCAAGAATCCCAGTCAATGGCCTGTCAAGAAGTATAGTGGTATTTGAAGATTCTATGGGTATGTATTTCACTTTTTTATTCAAATCCCATGGCACTATTTTTGGGGTGAGTGCTTAAATGCATTCCACAAGTCTTAATTTTCTATTTTTATTGATAATTTAAAATTAAAATACTAGTTGAAGGTCTTCTATTCTGGTAAAGTATCACTTGGAAACATATTTAAAGATAACCTTTGGTTAGTGTTTTAGGTTTAATTATCAGGTCAAATATAATTTTTCAGAATGACCAATATCTATATATACATATTGTTTTTTTTTTTTTAAAAAAAAAACCACTAAAAGGCGATATGCCAGTGGAGTTTTATTAATGTCAGGTTTGTAAAATTGATAAAAGTCAGGACTTTTTTCAAGATTTTCAGTTGGCACTTAAATTACAGCAGTTTAAAATTTAGTTGGCTGGTGGGCTGCACCTGCCTCTTCTGACTGTCGGTGGTATAGCTTTACTCAATTTGTAATTTTTTTTTTTTAATTATTTTTTTTATAAAAAAAAAAAATGAATTATTCAACCGATTAAACGATATGAAATCGAAATAATTAATGGAGATTAAAGAGATGTCATGTGAATTTCATTTGAAGATACTTGTTTGTTAGTTATAATTTGCAATGTTCAATCGGTCTAAACTGTTGTTTTATTTATTAAATATGTTAAAATTTAGATATACTTTCAATTTATAAATTATATTCGCGCTGCTCTCACTTCTTTAATTATTAAGAAGTAACAAATTGTCAATTTCATTATTATTATTATTTTTTTTATCAAGAATGCAAGAGCTCATAAGTAAATGACAAATGTCACAGGCCAATTCGATTCAGGACTTTTGAATGACCACTGAGGAATTCTACCAGAGTCTGTGCAGTGATTGTTGTTGATTGAGCCTACCCAAATGTACGTCTACAATTAAGTCTCTCTGATTGATTTTTATTTTTTTATTTTTTAGAATTTTGTCTGACAATCAAATGTTACGCAAATTGGATATCCTTGTGATGGGATATGGTGCGAGTTTAATCCTCTACACTTATATTGTGAGTTGTATTATAAAGAATCCGAACTCAATATGCTTTATCTTGCAGCAGCGGGCTTCATATGCTTATGCAACCATCCTGCATCAAAGGGGTGGGGCACACTATTTATCATGAAATCTGTAAAATATTGTTCATTCATTTAAATACTAAAAACAAAATTTATTAGTTTTTATAAAATAAAATAAAGAAAGAAAAAAAAAAAAAAAAAAAAAAAAATGGATAGTGAACAAAATAGTCTGACATCTCTTTTACCAAATTTCCATTAATATTTAGTACTATAAGACATATTCCCACGCATCTACTATGCTCTGTCGCTCCACCTTATCTTATCTTCAGTATACAACTAGTTTTCGCGGCTCCAGCGTCCGAGGTTAAAACAGACAAAGATCGTGATATACACATGCTGTTGTCGATTAAGATACTGCCACGCCTCTATCAGCGCGTGCTTCACACAGTCCCACTCCACAATCAATCCTATCCCTACATCCTGACGTGCAAGTTGAAGCCATATTCTGATTATTATATTCTGTATCTCACGCATTGAAAAGGGCGCGTGGAAGTAGTGTTTCAAAAACTAAGAAATTAATATCTGTTTCCCGCTTTACCCTCGTGCAATCATGTGCATTGCTCCGCTAATTGCTCCCTACAGAACAGCCAAAGCTTGCCGCGACTCTGAAGAAATGAGTAGGGAACAAAACATGCACCGAAAAGCTCACTTAAATGAGCTCTGACCTCAGTTACTTCCCCACCAACATTGCTCTCTCTCTCTCTCTCTATATATATATATATTATATGCATACATTCCACAAACAGAAAGCTCCTTCTCACACTATATAAATACGCATAAACCCCTGTTCTTCTTTGCAATAACTTGTCTCTCTATTGAAGGTATGATGGGTATTAAGGGACTGTTTGTTTGTGTGGTTTTAATTGAATTATCCATTTTGGTTATTGGCGGGATTCCGAGGAAGCCGGTGGATGTACCATTTCAGAAGAATTATATGCCAACATGGGCTAGTGAGCATATCAAGTACATCAATGGTGGTTCCAGTGTTGAGCTTCTACTTGATAAGTACTCAGGTATATATATATATTTATTGGCTTTGTGTTTTATATATCTTCAAACCCTTGTGGTAAAAAACATCACCCAAAGAGCTCACACTCATCTATCTATCTATCTATATGTGCGTGTATAAATATTACAATGAGAAGTTGCTGTAATGGCGGGAGATTTGTGCACTACATTAGTCCTTTTTTATGTATATAATATTATAAGTGTATAATATATTGATCACTCTGTCTCTCTCTAAACTGAAGGAACCGGATTTCAGTCAAAAGCGTCGTATCTGTTTGGGCATTTCAGCATGAGAATAAAGATGGTTGGAGGAGACTCGGCTGGTGTTGTAACTGCATTCTATGTATGTGCACCTCACCATCATTTTTTAACTTTTATTATATGTGTGTGTGTGTGTGTGTGTAATTGGTTGTTGATTGATCATATATATATTTATTGATCATGACTATATTTTCCTTTGATCAGCTTTCATCACAAAACTCGGAACATGATGAGATCGATTTTGAGTTCTTGGGGAACAGAACTGGTCAGCCCTACATAGTGCAGACCAATGTGTTCACCGGGGGGAAAGGAGATAGGGAGCAGAGGATCTACCTCTGGTTTGATCCAACCAAGGACTTCCATTCTTACTCTGTCCTTTGGAACATGCATCAGATTGTGTAAGTAATTTTTTCGATTAATTTCCGTCTTTTATCGCCTTACAAATATACATATTAGAGGTCTTGAGGCTTATGGTCTAGCTCTTATGATGATTTATCAGAGCCATCTTAGACCTACAAGAAAATATGTAATTAATATTGTTGGAACAAAATCTATGAACTTTTACAAAATGTTTTCCCTGATTTAGGAATATGTTTATACCCTATAAATATATTTATACTTATACTACGTGTGTGTATTAGCATTACATCAATTTTTATTTTTGTTTTTGTTTTCCCTTTGCTTTATGAGATTTAGGATCTATTTTTGTAAAATGGGTGTACTGAGTTTTCATTTACTATTTTATTGTATGACTAAGAGATTCACACATTCAATACATTTGGACCAACCATATGCATAAATGCACATAAAAGTGGTGGTGTTCATGGCTCACACTTTGGGCCCGGGGCACATATGGGCCAATACCCTAATAGTCATCTTTCTAGGACTTCTTAATTCTTATAGTGGGCTTGAGCACTTGCCATGGGACCAAGGCTTAGACAATTAAACGAACAGCAAGTAAAGCTCACATTGGGCTGGATTCTTAATGGGCCAGGCCCGTTGTCTTAATTCATCTAGGTCCAGCCTCGAGACCTGAAAGAATTCCATTACTGCATGTCAGCAAGACGGCTTAGCTGCTGTCTATGAGCACCTCTCTGCAGCGAGAGATTATTACATAGTCCGGGACTACATGGTCCCAGCCAAGCACACACCATACAACTAAAAAAAAACTTAATAAAGTTGACACATCTGACAGTGTGAGATTGGCCGGGACCGTGTAAAAAAATTTCCTCTGCAGCAGTTTCATTTCAATCTAGTTTTTAACACAGATAGTTGTAAGTATGTCAATTTGCCATATTGCTCATCTCTCTCTCTCTCTCTCTCTATCTCTATCTCTATCTCTATCTCTCTCTATATATATATATAATTGCAGCTTCTTTGTGGATGATGTACCAATAAGGATATTCAAGAATTTAAAGGACTTGGGAGTTAGGTTCCCATTCAATCAACCAATGAAGCTATACTCAAGCCTATGGAATGCTGATGATTGGGCAACAAGAGGAGGATTGGAGAAAACTGATTGGTCGAAGGCACCGTTCATCGCATCGTACACTTCGTTCCACGTGGACGGCTGTGATGCCTCGACCCCTCAATCGGCACAGGTGTGCAACACACGTGGACGGATGTGGTGGGACCAGAAAGCCTTCCAAGATCTGGACGGCCAGCAATACAGGAGACTTCAGTGGGTCCGAAAGAAATTCACCATTTACAACTACTGCAGTGATAGGTCAAGGTACCAAAGTGTTCCTCCAGAGTGTGTTAGGGATAGGGATATCTAAAAAGGTCTCATAATAGTTGATGTTATGTTTTGAAATTAGTCTCTTAAAAATAAATATGATAGGAGGATTTAGGTAGTGATAGTAGTTAGTAACTGGTTGTGTTAGGCATTTATTATGTAATGGATTGTATTTGGTAAAATAAGGTGAGATTTGTACTCGGTTTGGATATTTTATATTTTATAAATTTATACTCTGTTTGGAGATACATTCAATTCTTCATTTCTGTGTAAAGTTCAATTTATTGAAAGTGATAACGGTGTTCAAATCACTCTTGAACACTGTTGTAATGTCAAATTTGCACATGGATTGACAATTCAAGATCAACATGATAGTTAATGATTTCCACTTTGAAAAACTATGTAGCATGATAAAAGTGGATATGACTTACTCCACTAAGAAAAATTGGTTAGTGGAAATTACAATCTATCTTAGGGGAATAGTCTAATGGCGAAGACTTTTGCTTCACATCTCGAAAGTTAGGAGTTTGAACTTTGGATCATTTACATGAAAATTATATGTATCCGGTGACTTGATAATGTGTTTCGCTCATTTTCATTTATTGTGTAACGTTTGAACATTATTTTTAGAAATTTTATTATAATAGTTAAATCTGAAGAACTTTGAATTAACTAGTTAGGCTGGTGTATATGGATTTTCAGCACTAGTTGAGCTCAAAATCATCCTCAAACTTGAATTTCAAATTATGATAGACTGAATGATCTAAATAAGTTGAGCACATGCTTGACAAATCAAAACCTAACCTAACTCAAATACCCAAAAGCGCGCGCGCAGATTCTAATTAGAATTAGGTACTCTTTATTTTATTACATTCAGAAAACATACATAACCAACAGAATTTGCTTTCAACTCCACTTAATTAACAAATGAGGTTAGGAGCATAGACAAAGGACATATCTTTTAAAAAAATGGATTCTCCCAATTTCATGAATTTCTCGGTCCAAACCTATCCAACAATAGCTTGAACTTTTGAGTAAATGGGTAAACGCCCACCCGTTACACTAATGGTAAAGACTTTTATCTCACATCTCGAAAGTTGAAAGTTCAAATTTAGAAATTTTATTAAAATAGTTAAATCTGGAAAACTTTGACTTAACTCGTTAGGCTGGTGAATGTGGATTTTTAGCACTAGTTTAGCTTAAGATCGTTCTCAAACTTGAGTTTCAAATTATAATAGACCAAAAGATCTAAATAAGTTGAGTACATGCTTGACAAATCAAAACCTAATCGAACTCAATTACCCAAAAACACACACACACACACACACAGATTCTAATTAGAAATATGTACTCTTTATTTTATTACATTCATAAAACATACATAACCAACATAATTTTTCATAGCAAGATTAGCTGTCTTTCAACTCCACTTAATTGTGTCCCAAAAAAAAAAAAAAAAAACTCCACTTAATTAACAAATGAGGTTAGGAGCATAGACAAAAGAAATAACTTTGAAAAAAATGGATTCTCCCAATTTAATGAATTCCTCAGTCCAAACCTGTCAAACTGTTATATAAAAAATCTCATATATATTTAAATAAATATATCAAAGTTCATATCTTTATATGTTTTTATTTTTATTTTTATAAATGCTCTACCTTCTTCTACAAATAAAATAATTATCATAATGTGGTCCCTTTTTTTTTTAATGTGGTCCCTTTGATGATGGGCTAGTATGTGTACATGTGTCAGCTTCGCAACCATAGTCTAAATTATTGAGTTATGTGAATTGGGTGCTCATAAAAAATGATATCTCTATATGCTTTGATTAGAAATGTTGTCACATAGCATATAATAATTGTTAAACAAAGTGCATATATGACCCCCTCGAAAGGAAATAATTAAAGAGAAAGAGGACCATCGCTACTTTTTATGATGCCTCATTGTCCAGTTTATAAATTCCAAACTTTCTATATTTAAGATATGATGAGGTTTTACCTAACGAATAAAAGAAAATATCATATGAAGAGGATTGCCATTTTGAATCATTTTTTATTAATTAATTAGTATAGTACCATTGTTCTTTTATTATTTTTAATTGTTGGGTTATAGTAATAAGATAGCCACCAATGTAGAGACGTTAGCAATTGAACTTCGTTTAATTTATCAAATAATACTTAAATAACATATTGCACAAATAAAGGGTAATTATATTGACAAAACAAATGCAATCTTTTACCAAAAAAAAAAAAAGAAAAAGAAAAAGAAAAAGGAAAGGAAAAAAAAGAAAAAGAAAAGTGTGAAGTCATAAAGAAATTGAAAAAGTTGTTTATGTAATCTGTTTTGGCAAAAATCAATGTTAAAACCATGCAAATCATATCAAAGTTATCTATTTACTCCTTTTTTTCTCACACACACACACACAAAACCCTAGGTGACATGTTACTTTTTTTTTTTTTTCATCATTTGGAAAATATAAAGCTAGAATTTTGTATTGAATATTTACCTAAGTTGTAACTCAGTGATATCTTCTCTCTTTTCAAAGTGAAAGACAGATGATTCGAGTATCTGAATGAGTATTGTGAGAGTTTTTTGTCAGGCAAAATAAATAAAATAAAGTAAAAAATAAATTTTATGTTGACTATTTACTCAATAATAAGGTAAAGCAATTTAGTGTAGCATGTGAGAAGTTATCTCTAATTAATTGATAACCTACCACCATTACTTTAACTTCTTAACCATTTAAATTGGTAATTCATCAAATGTGCTTTGCAGAAGTCATTCTTTATATATATCACACACTACATATAACACACATAATTAAACTTTTTGAAGCAATTAAAAAAAGAAATCCATGCCGGTAAAACCTCCATGTGTTATTCCACCGCCAACCACCAGAATACTGCCATGAATAGATGTGTAAGACACCTTTAAACAATCACCATAAATTCTCTTTTTCTGTATCTATCACCATTATTGCATTGTTCAATTTGTTCTTCAATAAGTAGTTGTGTTTGTTAAGATTGCCTTAAAGTATTGTTGGCTATTTTGACAGTAATGTCATTTATATTATTTTGTGAACCATTAAAAGAACCTTTAGTCGGGTTAAAATCCCGGACATCTGAATATAAAAATTAATAAAATAAAATAAAATAAAATAAAATTTTTTTATATGAATCTTGAGTTCTTGAGATTTCAAGTATTAGTGTTTTCACGAGACAAGAGATGAAGTGGAAAAGATATGAAATTTGTACTTAGAAATTACTTTTTCAACAAAGTAACATACGTGAAAACAATATCCGTCTTTTATTGATCAATTGGTTTTGTACTCATAAAAAAAAAAAGAGAGAAAAGAAAAAAAAAAAGTTCACAATGAGGTGTCTTACTTTGAGTTGATTCTCTGTATCAATTTTCAACTAAAAACTATTGTTACTTTTCTTAACCCAAAAAAAAAAAATCCGAAGTTGATTTTTTTTTTTTAAAGTGTAAATTACACAAATCTTTTTTAATGTTTGGACAAATTACATACACACAAATATACCGTTCAATATTTATTACTTCGACCTTCCTTAAACTCATTAATAGACGACGACAAAAAAATGACTTTGAGTGTGAAAAGTCAGTAAGGGCATGTTTGACTTGTAACTCTGAAAACAGTTATCAAAAATTCTGAAAACAATTCTTAAGAACTCGGAAAATAGAAAACTATTTTTAACAGAATTTTTTATAACTGAATTTTCAAAAAAATAGTTTTTAAAAAATTAAAAGTAAAAAAATTATTTTATAAGTTACAAACCAACATACCATAATACTCTTATATCATATTAATATATTATATTACATTTAATACAGACAAATGTCAAAATTGCTATTTTATAAAATTTGATCAATAATTTTATCAGGAAAAAAAAATGTTACGGGTATTGTTGAGTATACAGGTTAAATCTCATATAAAGTTAAAATAATAATTATTAAATGGTTTATAGTTTATAATTTAATAATAAAAATAAATAAATAAATAAAATAAAATAAAATAAAGTTGTAAGAGGTGCATTGTGAAGGTGTGAAAGGGCTTTACCCATTTCCCAAGTTAATCTCAAAAGGCAATTCCAAAGTTGGTTAAAGTGAAAGTGAAGGCTGTTTAAAGGAATATTCATTAATTTCAAGGGCACTTTCTATCTCTGCCTTTAATTGTTAGTAGTTGTGTTGCTACATACCCTTTTTTAGTTATTAACACAAATTCATACTAATTAACATTTCACAAAAGTCTACTTAACATTGGACCAAAGCTAAATTCTTCATTTCCACCACGAAAATGAAAAAGGGTAACCATAAAATAAGGCCAAAGAACACCATTTCATGACACCCACTAACAGCCTCACTAATGCTTAATTGTGTTCCTTCAAAAAGTTAATAAATTAAATTTCATTAATTCTAAAAATATAAGATCATCAACTAATATAGGCTCGACATCTGTCTAATAGATGATGTCATTTGAGGAATTGACTGATGTTCATTAGGGACATTATTTGATTGATTAGATAAAATATTCCGTTCATAACTACTTTAGATGATTAGACCTAGAGCAAGTGAGAGGATAGAGATTAAACAATGTGTTGGAAATTAAATTTAATGCCTTAAAAATCACTATTCACATATACAAAATTAAGTAACTCTTTAATGGGTTACAAATTTTGGATCCGTGCAATTATTCACAAATAATACATATTAGGTAAATTCAAATGTATTTAGTAAGAATTAAACTAAGACAACCGGATTTAAAATTCGTTTTAAGAGATTCTTTATCTATTAAGCCACTCGCGTCATTTAAGTATTCAACTAGCTCGTATTTCATGATCTTGCATAAAAATGATCTTTCATGATCATAAACCAAAACTTGAAACCATTCAATGACATGTGACTTTAGGTTGTTGGTGTGATGAACAACCATCTTCTTCCTTGCTGCAATGGGTTTTTTTTGGGTTCCATATTCTAGTTTTACGTGTAGTTGAAAAGGGTAAAATTTGCTATTTTTGTTAAAATTTCATCAACAATGCTATTTGCATGACTGGAGAACAAAAATGCTTCTGCAATGTCATGTGATCGATCAAGAAGTGAAGAATAATAATCTGAGCAGTCAAAAAGCATGCCGTGAAAGCATTTTTTATCCATCATTACATACCACCAATTAGGACCATATTCCGATTATTTCATCTCAGTCCTACATTGCCTTACAAAAATTAAATAAAAAAAAATAAAAACATTAAACTGTTCACAAAAATTTAATCCGTAAAATCAATTTGATGTTTTACAGATTGAATCGGAATGATTTAAATTAACTATACTGACCTTTCTTGTGGAATGCTTAAATAATATGGACATTCTCAATATTTTCAAAAATAACACTCACCTCATCTATTAGTAGTGTTGTTGGTTTATCAAAAGTTTGAATGGACAATTGTATCCATTATACTATATTTTTCCAAATAACACTCGTCTCTTCTGTGTCAGTTCATAAAAAATAAAAATGAACAATTATACCTATTGGACTTTTTATGTTAGTGTTTCTATTTTCCTGACAAATTAAATAGATGAGAACTCGAATACCAAGACACGTATTTAAAAAGTTAAAAACTCTATCAATTAAGTCACGAAATTGATTTTCATAATTTAACCTTTTAAAATATTATGAATTCCTTGCATGGAATTGATTTTTGTTTTTCTTCTAATTACAACTCATTCGATCCCTGTGCAAGCTACTGTAAAGCAGCAATCAATTAATTTAATTTTATCAACATAAGTACTTTTTTTAATCACGCCAACCCACAAAGCACCTAACCCAACTCTACAAAGCCTTTCCAGAATTTTCCACCACTCCTCTCTCTCTCTCTCTCTCTCTCTCTCTTCTTCTTTTTCTCTCTCTATAAAAAACCCTGTCCTTGCTTCTTCTTAAACGCTTCCACAGTCGGACACAGCACCTATACCTACAGGCCCTACCTCTACAGCCCCTACAATATATTTCCTCCACTCCTCTCTATCTCTCTCTCTCTCTCTCTCTCTCTCTCTCTATCTATAATATTTTTCCACCACTCCTCTTCTCTCTCTCTCTCTCTCTCTCTATCTATAATATTTTTCCACCACTCCTCTCTCTCTCTCTCTCTCTCTCTCTCTCTCCTAAATCCCTCTTCTTTTTCTAATCATTTATTCTTAAACGATTCCACACCCGCAGAAAAACACTTCTTCTTCTTCAATTCACTGAAGTTCCTACTTCTTGCTTGTTCTAATGACAACACCAAAAGAAGTAGAGGAAGTCTCTGAACACCTCAGATACAAGGTAAAATTTTGTTCTCATCACAACACCCATCGTTTCTTTTTCAACAATTTTAGCTCTCTCTCTCTCTCTCTCTCACACACACACACACACACACACACACACACACACATATATGTATGTGTGTATATGTGTGTTTTATTAATTAATATCCATCTCTTTCGTTTCTCAGACATGGGTCTTGAGAGTCTCAATCCACTGCGAAGGCTGCAAAAAGAAAGTCAAAAAGATTCTTCAAAAAGTTGAAGGTAAAACCAACTACCCTATATTTTCCATCTATTATAGTTCACTCTAGTTGTATAAATATACCTATACATAGATATATACATGCTCAGTTATGTGTGTAGGTATGTACATGTATTCGATGATGGAAATTGAAATGTGTCTGTGAATCCAATTCAGCTCAAAATCTTGTACTTTGGCATGTTTTTTCACACGGGTTGTGTTCATTTCCTCTGTTTTGCTCATGATGGAAATTGAAATGTGTTTTTTGTATTAAATTCAGCTCAAAATCTTATAGTTTCACATATTTATTGGTTTTTTTTATTCATCTGGGCTTTGTTCATTTTCTCTGTTTTGCTCATGAAGGAAATTGGTGTGTGTATGTGAATCGAATTCAGTTCAAAATCTTGTAGTTTGACATATTTTTTCATCTGGATTTTGTTCATTTCCTCTGTTTTTCCCTTGATAGAAATTGAAATTTGTTTGTGTTTCGAATTCAGCTCAAAATCTTGTATCTTGACATATTTTCTCTTTTGTGTTCTGTTCATTTCCTCTGTTTTGATAGGTTTTCTGATCAGTTTTTTGGTTTGTTAATTCTCTTTCATCTTCAGGTGTTCATAAAGTGGATATAGAAGCCAAGCAACACAAAGTTACAGTAACTGGTAATGTAGAAGGAGAGACTTTGATCAAGAAAATGTTAAAGTCAGGTAAACAGGCCGAGTTAATCCTAATCCCGGAAAAGACTGATCAGGAGGAGAAAAAGTCCGGCAAATCGAAGAACAAAGAGAAACAGAGCAACCCAGAAAGCAGTGAACAAGTTAGTACTCATGGTGGTGGTGATCACAAAGAGAAGTCACCAGTGAAAGTCGAAGTAGTCCAAGACCCATCTCAAACTAGCGGCGGAGGTGGTGCAGCACAGGCTAAAGCCGCTAAAAATGGCGGTGGAGGTGGTGAGGCACAAGCTAAAGCTGCTAAAAATGGCGGTGGAGGTGGTGAAGCACAAGCTAAAACTGCTAAAAATGGTGGTGGAGGAGGTGGTCCGGCGAGTGAAGGCGCCGAAGCAGCCACAGATACTGAAACCGCAGCTAAAAATAGCGGCGGACAGCGGGTGGAGTCAAAATCTGAGGGGAAGAAACCGGAGACCGGTCCGGCCGGTGAACAGTCTCCGGCGGCGGAGAAAAAGGGCGGTGAAGTTGATGGTGGTGCAGAGAAAAGTGGTGGCGGCGGCGGCGGCAATGGCAGTGCTGGTAAAAAGAAGAAAAACAAAGGGGAAAATGGTAATACAAGTGTTGCTGAAGGTGAACCATCAAGCAGAGAATCAATTGATCAGAGCCCACCTCCGGCTTCGGCCTCGGCTAATCAGAGACCTCCACGTCAGCACGGAGATTATCACCCACCACATCACTATGCACCACCACCTGTATATGCTGTGAGTTACAATACGGCGCATCCTACTAGCAGTAATACGGCGTCGTACTATGCTAATCCACAACCGTATCAATACGCATATACGCATCCGAGTGAACAGACATACCGATATACGTATCCGAGTGAAGGGATGGAATTTTCACCGTCGGATTTGTATTCCCATCCGCGGCAGCCGTCGGATTCCCTCTCGTATTTTAGCGATGAAAATCCAAATGGGTGCTCAATTATGTGAAGGAATTCATAATTGTCTAGAAAATTAGGTATAGTAAGCTAAGCTTATACTACTTGTATAAGCCAATGGGATGTAATATATGTGTGTGAGTGGAAGATGGTTGGTTTTTATGTATTTTAATATAAACTAGTGATTTTAATCTTCACCATATTATTAAATTTAACCGTAGTTTGATCCACTTAAAAATAAGTTTTTTTTTTTTTAATTTTAATTTTAATTTTAATTTTAATTTTTTTATAGATATAATTCTTGCAAACTTGGAGGAGGGGACACGCTCAAAAAAGTTGGATTTTTTTACCGGTTAGGTCACTATATAAAACTCTAAAATAAGTTATTTTATTTTATTATCTTTAATGTCATAAAAGGACATGTGATTCAATGATATCATAACATTAACCATAATGAGAAGATTTTTGCTCAATTGTTCAATTTAATTTGGAAAGTTTAGATAAAGCTTATTAGGATTTTAGAATTCGTAAATTTTGTATAACAATTGTGTACAATTTGAATCAAGAGGGAAAAAATTTTATACAAAAAGAATTAGTTTGTGCGATATTTTTTACATAAGACTAGTAAGACTTACGACTGATGGTGTGATTTACCATTCTTGATAAAATCCAATTTGAAATTCTATATCATCACATTGAAGTGTTGAGACGTACCAAATTGTATGATTTAGCATTTGTTATAAAGTCGAGATTGTGCTTATATATCATCACATTAAAGTGTTAAGACGTACCAATATTGGTTGTGTGATTTCTTTCTTCTTCTTTTTTTTTTATTTTTTATTTTTTTATTTTCCCTAATTGATTGTATGATTTATCATCTGATAGAGTTCAGTTTGTATATCGTCGCTTTAAATTTATACATTTTGTCAAGTATAATAATAATATATATATAATAAAAGTATGCCTACACCTATTATTATTAAGAAAGAAAGGTTAAGAAAATATATTTGGTGGTGTTATTGTGAAGACTTACATTTCATGATCTTTCTTTCTATTTTCTCTTTCAGAAATGGGGGAATAAATTTGACCAATTAAGTGAGAGTGCAAGTCAAAAAAGTTGAATGAGAATAATCAATGAATTGACATTGTGTGTTGACCAATTTGTCCTACATATCCATCAATTTTTTTATTTGGACTCTTTGTTTCACAACGTCTAACATTGCTCTCTCTCTTTCTTTGTGCTCACTCAACGCCAACGGGATTGGCTTTACTCTGTTGTCACGGAATTATCTATCTTCATCAAGAAGAGAAGGCTATTAACGTTTTCAGAGAAAAAAGAAAATTGAGTCTCATAAATTTAAAATGTAATACTCATGATTTTATATTTCTAATATATGATTTATTATACACACTTGGAATTTTTTAAAGCAAATAAAATATTGTGCAAAAAAGTAACAAATGATACAAAATACAAATGGTTCACCCACATTATCTGTTTAGTGACATGAACTTGACCTTCTACTTTAGAAGGTAATCATAATGGGTATAATGGATTTGATTAATATTTTATTTTTTTTGGATAAAAAATTAATCAAATAATTGGATCACGGGTCATTTTTATAACATTTAAAAGTAAAGAAAAAATTGAAAGAAAATAAAGCGTTTTTTTAAATAAGTTCAACTAATACAAAATCTAGTGATTAAATTTGATATTAGGGTAGAAGTTAGAGGTACCAAAATTTCAAGTCAGACTCCCAAAGATAATGGAGAGCAACCCAATTATTGAATTATGAAAGCGTTGGTAATTAAATTTGCACAACATACTGAAGAATGCTTTGTACTAGAAAAAATTTAAGTCTTGTTCCAAAACAAATTCACAATCAATGCAAATCCACTTGCTTAGAGTTGCTAACAATATATTGTCTCATAACATGGTGATTGATGAAAGAAAAATAAGAATTTTAGACATGAGTGATTTATATGGACCCTAAGAGAGTTAATGGGTGTTCAAGGTGGGGCCTAAAAATATCAGTAAAAATATATTTTGATTCTTTCAAAGTTATATTTAAAAAAGTAATAATAATTTGACACGTGGCAACAATTATTTTCTAAATTATATATTGATAAGAAACTTATTGGATTTGTTAGCCTTGTAATGCTCATCTTTGTTGGTCTTCTCTTGATTGTATGTAATGCATTATTATTTGTAGGACCAAGAAATCCTTCTCACCCACTTTTCTGATGTGTAAAGGAAACCTTGAAAGTGAAATGGTGGGATATGATTAAATTACAAGGTGTAGCCTCCTTGATCTTGTTTTTGGTGTCTCTTTTTAAAAAGCAATTCCTATTCCTATCTTTCATCAAAAGTTTCAACACTAGGGTTTAATGTGTGTTTCTTTCTTCTCTTCCTTTGCTACTCTTCCTAACTAAGACATTAATATGATGCACAATCTTAAATTTCTTGAAAAATAAAACCCTAATTTATTTAGTTTCTTAAAACAAAGAAATGAATTTGCACTGTAATCTTCGACTGAACAATGTTCATTCACATGATATAATAAACGGAAATGATTTGAAATGCTCGGCCAAACAATCCTTAGCCGTGAGATGCAACACAAAGTTGCATCCAATGACTATAAGACTAGTATTTCGACTAAAATGTTGAACATATATATATATCATGATTCTATAATACAGTAAATAAGATCCGTTTTAAGTTCTACTACACTATATCGACTTTGAGTAGTACAGTTCTTTTAAAATTGTGCTTTTTTTTTTTTGTTTTTTTTCTTATAATATGTATTTAAATATAAAAAAATTGAGAAAATTGTCAATCAAATAAAATTTTAAATTATAGTAACTTAAACAAAGGGAGACAAAGTAGAGTCTTTCTATGTACTATGTACGAAACTAGAGCTTTTACAAGTATTTTTTTCTTAGGTAGTTTATTGATAGAAAATATATAGTTAAATTAACTATATATTAACTATATATTTTCTATCAATAAACTACCTTTTATTTGCGCGTGATAGCCTGTGTTCTTTTATGTCTTTGCCTTTTTTTCTTTTCTTTTCTTTTCTTTTTTTTTCTTTTTTTTCTTTTTTTTTTTTTTTTTTTTTTTTTTTAACTTTCTTGCTTTACATTCTTCTATTTAACATATATTTTTGTAGTGTATGGAAAAATGGGCTCCCATAATGTGATTAAAAGCAAGTTTGTGCAGTTGTATGCAGACACTTTGTTTCCTGCATACTGGCCTCCTGTTTGGCTGTTTCACTTTGTCTGAGTTGGGGAAAGAGACTTCTCTCCCTCAAAGAAATCATTATGCTCAGGAAATTATCACTCTCCAATATATAACTTCCTTTTGACTTGAGTTTGACTCATCTTTATTTGAAAAATATGATTATTTTTTTAATTAAATAATGTATAATGATTAGATACACTATCTTATGAAACTTTTCAAAAATCTTGAATCGTATTTTTGTCACGTTTGCTCACTTGCTACTCCGTTCAAAAAATTCGTTATACTTAGCCTAATTACACACAGATGAAACTTTTCAAAAACCTCTTAATGTTTGCTCATTTGCTTCTTCGTTAAAAATCCTTAGTTTCATCGACCAAAATGTACTTCCTTCATCTAAAAATGACATTGTTACCCTTACTATGACATTTAATTAAAAGAGATTATTTTTATAAACATAATTGCCCTTAGGTTTTGATAGCTCAATATTTTTAAAAGTTTAAACATATACACACACCTACTGACATACAGTTTCTTGTTCGACTCGACTCTAATCGTCACTTTTGAGGACGAGAGATCATACGATTTGATTTTGTGGCCAGGTGGTGGTGGACATAATGTTTATATAAATGTTTGATGCACTTTTATATATATATATATATATATATATTTAAAGCAAGATTGTTTTATTAAAAGTTAGAGGTGCAAATGTTATGCCGGACTTCTAAATACAACGGAGAACAACCAATCTCGCAGGTCCCGCAAGCAAGCACAATCTTCTCTTTTGAGGTGATCAAATTCCCTCTTAAATCTTTAAGAGAATATGCGACCCTTTATTTTTTTTTATTATTGTTGTTATTTCTATTGCATAATGCAGTCTTATACCACATTTGCCCTCTTCTCTAATTACCTTTTTCAAAATCTAGAAAGCTCTCTTTTTCTGTGCTTTTATTCTGTTCGCCACTTGATCACTTCATTTGACATTCCAATCTTCACATTCAAGGGAACTTATACTATTTGTACAATATTATTCTTATTCCCAAATTGATGTGTGCACACAATAACAAGTATTTTTCAAGTAATCATGACACAAAAAATATATAACATGGTAGAAAATGATACTTTTCCTTGGCAACTATGATCAAATATTGGAGGAGAGACTTTTTAATGATACCTATTGGGTCCTTTTTTTATGATTGTAATGCTGCTCTTAATTAAGTTTAATTATAAAGCGATATATTGTCAAGAGTCACTCTAATTTGTGTAAATATGATCCGTTTTGAATATATTTGTTTCGATGTTTACGATTTTATTCAAAACGCATCTATCTAATTAAGGAGTGTCCACTGTCCACATGTCGTGATCTCTTTTTCTTGAGATAATCAGGAAAAAAAATAAAAAAAATTAATAATAATAATAATAATAATAATAATAATAATTTCAAGAAGAGGGAGTGGAAAGAAAGAGATGTGTTTGTATCATCAATATAGATTAAAATCATTCCCTAAAGAATCTTAATCCACAAGTGATATGTCTCATTTTCACAAAATAGTCAATTTGTCGTCACCAATTTTATTTTATTTTATTTTTTCAAGAATCGGATTCCTTTAATCCATTCAATTTTCCTTCCTTGCCAAGCCTCTCTCATTCACTTTTTCTACTCCGAAAAGGTGGATCATGGAGTCATTCCAAACAAAAGGCTTAGTTTTGGACCTCAAATTTTCAGTTATTAAAAGCATAAAAAGGTAAATTACCATATGCTTGCTATTACTCCATACATTTGAACATGTTTTTGAGTGTACACATACGTTTAGCTGTAAATGAACAAAACCGAGTTAAAATTAGAATTTTTAAACTTAGTTTATTAATGTTTTAGAATAAGCCTAGATTGTAATCGAGCTTAAAAAGCATGTCAAATTTGGTTAACATAATGAAATTACTCCGTTTTAGAAAGTGAATTCGAGAACGGAAGCGTGA